ATGCTGTCCCTCATTTTGGAAGAGGAGCCTGTGGAAGGTGAGGCACGGGTCTTTGAGCTCTTGATTGCCTTCTATTCTTGACAGGCACAGGGTAGAGTGGGATACCCACATGCTTTAGTATCACAGAGAACCAAAAACCAGTTGCCACTGAATTGACTCTGACATATGGTGACCTCATGTGTCTCAGAGTAGAATTGTGTTCCATGGGGTTTTCAGTGGATGATTTTTGAGAATTAGATCCTTTTTTCCAAGGAACCTCTGGATGGACTTGAACCTCCAACTTTTTGGTTAGCAGCTGAGCCCGTAACTCTGCCATCTAGGGACAATATCACAGAAAGGGGTACTTAAATGCTAGCTCTACATCTGCCAACTGGAGGGCCCTGGGCCTCATCCTCTGGTCTCATGCTATTAGTTCCAAAGTAGACATCATGGTGGTTTCCCTTCAGAGCTTTCTGTGGCTCAAATGAGATGCTTAGGCATTTCACCCACATCATTTCCTGACTTTTTCATGAGCAGGCACACTCAGTCAGAGGAGGAAGGAAAAGAAGAATTTTCTCCACTTTAGAGCTGAGGAGGTGTGAGTGGCTCACCTGGGCAGAGCTAGGTGTAGAGCCTGGTTTCTCTTGGTCTTGGCCTTGGTCCACTGCCTGGCAGGCATCTCTTTCCAGCTCCCTTTTAAGAACAGCCTCCGAACTCAGGAATGAGCTTGTGGCCAATGGTGAATTGAGCAAGAAACAGAACGAAACCAAGATGGTCTTATCATCATCACTGGAAAGCTGCCATTGGTCACTGCCTTTCAATGGGGGCTTTGTTTGGCTTTTAGAGCAATGAGGCATTACTGGGCACAGAGGCCACTCAGAAAACTCAGGGCAACATAGTCTTGCCTGATTGCTGAGGTCCAGATTCTCCAAATCTCTTGCCCACCCCATCTCACCCCCTCCTGGTGTGAGGATGCATCCTTCTGGGACCACAGATTGCCCTTTCCTAGACTGTGAAGCTGTGGAGTTTCTGTCACTCAGGAGCTGACCTTTCCTATTCTGATTGTGTCTTATTTGCTGTCTTGAAGGGGCTGTGGTTTCAGCTGTAAGTCTACTGACCACTCTGGTCATCTGAGGGTGCAGAGAAGCCCTGATGGTGTTGGCATAGAGCCCTGGCTGGCCCCAGCACTCAGGCCCCATGGCCTTACTTCTTATTGGCAAGGTCCCATCAGGCTGCCACTGTACCATGGTGGTGGCCCACCTGCCCTTGCCGTGGTCCACACAGCCCTCGTAGTAGGACATCTGGGCACGGGGAGCAAGAGGCAATGGTAAAAGCACATGACGGAGTCAGGAAATCTTCTCAAGTGCTGCCCCTGCATCCTCTCCCTGAGCACACTCATCTCTTAGCTCACCTGAGAGTGGAGATGACAGCGCACATCCTGGGGTTATGAGAATGGTAATGAGTGAGCTGACATGGGTAGACTACCTGATGGCTGGACTTGTCTGCCTTGTGCACAGTACACTGCTGGCACCTGGACTGTGTCCACATGCTCAATATGATCAAGCACATGCCGAGCAGAGCCTGGGACAATGGAAGTATCAGCCATCAGCCATCAGCCATCACCACTGTTACTAATTACACAGGTTACTAATTACACAGGTCTTGCCCCAAGAAAACAGTGATCTTGATTCACAAGTGGGGGCATAGTAATCTAGGTAGAGGGCAGCTAGATGGGTCTTTGGAGGCTGTCATGTATTCTTTTGAGTTCACACACACATTGCCTCCCCATGTATGAAAAAGATTAAAGAATTTCCAGTGCTGGAAGGTTTTCTTTTTCATTTCTCACTACCCGACTGTCAGCCAATGCTGTGAGCACTGGGTCATTGTGAGCTAGGTGGACTGCAGACCTAGAGAAACAAACTCAGGACTCAGCTCAGCGAGTCTCCTGTAGCAGGAAGAGAAGATGGCAGGGGAGGGACAAAGGCACAAAGGGGAGGGACTGTGAGCCCACCACACCCTTTGCCCCACCCTAAGGCTACAGTTGGTCCCAGAATTTAGCCTCAGAGTCACCAGTGCCTGCTGGCCTCAGAGGTCTGGACTTTGGGACAGGCAACCCAGGAGGTAGAAGGAGAAAGCTACTTGGTACTCAGCTCCAGGACATGGGCTTTTCACACAGTTCTTCAAACGGAAACCCTCACGTAAGGAAAGCCCTAATGCTACCATGTCCTGCCCATAGGAGAGTCTGGAGCAGACAAGAAGAATGCTGGGGAAGTGTCTTCCAGTGCCCTATCTCCTTCACAAACCAATGGAAGCTCCAGGACTCTAAGGAGGCCACCCCAGCTTTCCCTGAGGTGCTGCAACCTCAGCCTGATCCTCTGACCCTTACGAATGGCAGCCTCTGAAGAGACCTTGAAGTTAGGTTCAGATGTGTGAATCAGCATGAGGGAGTAGGAAAACCAGCTCTGGAAGTCCAGGCACTAGGCCCAGTGCTCCAGTAACCAGGTGTGTCCTCTGGTAGGTCATTTTGTTCCTTTGGACTTTGGAGGAGGGCAGAAGTGGATGCTCTCCAGAGTGCTGGCTGTATCTTTTCCAACCTGAACAATGATCAGATCAGGTATCACTTATTGTTGGCTTATTAGATTCCAGGTGTTACAAGTGCAGCACATGCAATACCTCCTTTAACCCTCACAACAAACCTGTGAAGCAGGTTCTAGTATGATTCCCATTGTACAAAGAAGGGAATTAAACCTTCCAAGGGATCACATGACCATGTGACAGTGCTGGTCTTGGTCACCATGATACCACACTCTGCTTTCTCTATATGGCAACTGTACATTCCTTATGCTGCAACATGGCTGTTCATCTTATGGATTAAATGGTCCTTTTTTTTTTTTTAAATTATTTATTCTCCTGTGGGAATCACATGAAAAAGTCAAGAGCTCCCTTTGAGCAGAAGAGCCAACTAGCCAGAGCGGAGCTCCACAGGAAGTCTGGACGAACCCACACCAGCTGGAGTTCTTACGTATACAGAACAAAGGCCTAAAAAGCAGGAGGGAGATGCAGAAACTATAAGCAACTAATTTCTGTTTAGATAGAAATTCTTACTTTGGAGGCAGAAGGCTTAAGTGTGAGTCTTGCCACTTCCTGGTTATCTTCCTACTCAATTTCTATGAATTCGCCATTGCCTCACTTGTAAAATTTAAATAATAGTAGATTATATTTTGTGGAGTCTTGAGAAGAATGTTCAAGAAAGCCCTCTGTGAACTCACTTGACTATTAGCCTACCCCAAGCCCCACCAAGTACAGTATTTGGTACAAGCATGTGGTTGCTGCTGTAGCTGCTGTTGAGTAGGACCCTGACTCATGGCAAACTGTGTAATGGAATGAAACTCCACTCTGTCTTGCACCATGCTCATGATTGGTTATGGACTGGGCCATTGTGACCCACTGGGTTTCCACTGGCTGATTTTTAAAAATAGATTGCCAGGCAAACTGACTTCCTAGTCAGTTTTAGTCTGCAAGCTCCATTGAAACTTGTTCAGTATCACAGCAACATGCAAGCCTCCACTGACAGGTGGTGGCTGCACATGAGGTGCCTTGGGCAGTAATTGCATTGGGTCTCCTGCATGGAACCTGAGAATTCTACTATTGAACCATCAGTGACTCATGGTACAAGTACAGTATTTGAAAAATGTTTGCTGATTTGAATTAAAGCTCAAGTTGTGGACCATGAGACACTGTTTTCTGGACGTAACCCTTGTAGCTTACTTTCTTAGAGGATAATAATGGATGTCTCATTCCTCATAGGGTGAAGGGAATCTCTGAAAATGTAGCCCAGGGCTAGGTCAGAAATGGGCTTCTTAGCACATGCTGCTGAAATAACTGTGTAGTCACACTGTGACTCCCAACCCCACCCAGGTCCTCCCACTAGGGAACTGTGCCCAGCAGGTTCCAGGACCCTGGATAGCAGTTTGGTTCCAAGCTTGAGGCAGGACTTGGGGTTGGGTTTCTCAAATTCCCTAGGAAAGCCAAGTAAAATGTCCTAATTAACATGGTGAAGGGCACAACGGCCCATTCCTTCCCTCTGGAAAGCAGCTATTTTCCTGCCTTGCCCAGCCAGCTAATAATAATCACCACCCCATGTCAAATCTGGCCCTTGCTGTACTGTATCAGTGCCAGCACCATGCCAGGGAGGGAATCTATTAGAAACCTGCTCATGAATGGAGCAGGCTGACTACAAAGGCCTGAGATGAGGAAGGGGACATCAAAGCCCACATTCTTCCTTAAAGATCGCCTCTGGAAGCCAGGCCTCCTTGTTAGGAAACAAAACTCAGGAAGTTCAAGGACCTGGCCCCTCTCTGTGCCTCAAAGACCCCAGGGTATTTGCTCTCTTTTTTTGCTTGCCAGTGGGGCAAAAGACAGAGAAAGCCCACACCCTGGGGCCAGAGGTCTGACTCCCAGCTCCAGTTTATGAAAAGCAAATAAATATCTGGCCTTGGCTCAGAGACATGAGTCCCTCAACTTTTGAGGGGGAGCCTTGGCATTTCATTAGTTGTCTCTTTGAAGGTTGCCCTTTAAAAAACAGGAAAAGAGAGGAGGGAGAAAGGAAAGGAGGCTGACTCAAAAAGCTTCCTTTATCTGGAGGTTCTGACGCTCCTGTTGGTCTTTGCTCATTGCTCATTATGTGGATGGAAGAGCCTGTCAGGCAAGAAATAATGCCTGATATTTACGCTTTAATGGAACCCAGGGACCAATTAACAACACTGAGCACCAATGGGTAAAGCACTTCTAAAAGGAACGGAGGGATCGCTTATATTATTGCTTCTTTCTCCCCCTCTCCCCAAATAAAAGACAAATGCTATGTCAACAATTTTTCAAAAGTAATCCTTTATTTTCTGAAAGTCCTAAAGCTGATGCATATATCAGATGATGCCTAATGTCCCTGTTCAAGAATAATATTGTTTTCTCTTTTGGTGAATCTTTCAGCCACGAGAGGACTATGGCCGGGAGAAGTGGTGGCATCAGAACCTGCCCTCGACACCCAGCACCCGCACTGCAGCCTCCTGCACAGCCTGGTGGACGTGCTGCACCTCCTGCTGTGACAGTGTCCGCTCCATGTGTCGATAGGTGATACGGTAGCAGTGGCTGGTCTTGTGTGTCCTAGAAAACAGGAGAAGGCAGTGAGTGGTGAGCACAGGAGCCTTGTCTGCATGAGAACCCCCACACCTCAGAGAACTGTGGGCATGATCCCCACTACTACCATTATAGCACAAAAGTATCACTTTCCCCTAATGACTACACCTTCTAAATTCTTTGCATTAACTTTGGATAATCTAGACGGCTGACTCCCACTGGAAAAGCTGTATCAACATCCCCTGGGAAGCTTCTTACAAAATAATATCCTGGGCTAGGCTCTGAAGATGCTGGCTGAGGAGTACCTGCTTCCAGGTGATTCTGACCAGCAGACAGGATTAGGAAACCTACCTTCCTCATAATCACAGAACACAACACATGGCAGTGACCATGCAGCTGCTTCAGGATCAAATCTGGCCCCAGGGTCCTGGTCACTCAGAGGCTAAGGATTGTACCTCTCTCACACCCCTGTAAGCCATGGGAATGTCTCATTGTGCCTTCTGGATATTTATTTTAATTTTTATTGTGATTTGGGTGAATGTTTACAGAGCAAATTCATTCTCCATATAGCAGTTTATATATATTTTGCTTTATGACATTGACTGCAATTCCCCACAATGTAACAGCTCTCTTCCCACTTCCTCCCCATAGTTACCTCCTCCCTGTGTTACCTCTTTCGTATGTATTCCTGCCCTGAGCTATCTCCCTGTGCAGACACTATTCTTCTGTTCTTCCAGAGTTGACTGTTCTAAGGAGTATATCTGTTGTTGTTGTTAAGTGCCGTCGAGTCGTTTCTGACTCATAGCGACCACATGCACAGCAGAACGAAACACTGCCCGATCCTGCGCCAGCCCCACAATCCCTGCTGTACTTGAGCCCATCATCGCAGCCACCATATCAATCCATCTCCTTGAAGGCCTCCCCCTGTTTCATCAACCCTCCACCCTACCAAGCATGACATCCTTCTCCAGGGAATGGTCCCTCTGACAACATGACCAAAATAGGTGAGACGAAGTCTGGCCATTCTTGCTTCCAAGGAGCATTTTGGCTGCACTTCCTCCAGGACGGATCTGTTAGT